CAGGACAAGCCATTTTGTTTAGTTAAATAATGGAAGGCCCTCATAATACAGAGCTGTTGGCAACCCTACTTCCTGGGAATTGAGCATTGGATTTGGGGCTTACATTTCCAGAAGAGGGATTTGCAAGTGCACCAGTTGTGACTCTCCTTTAAGGACTGGTGAATATAATATCAAATTACACTAAGAAAATACCCACACTGCATACTGCTGATTATATTTTCAGGAGATGGGGGCAGGGATGGGACCAACTTGCATAGCCCTGGCATTTGCTATTGCTTTGCAGGGGCTAAACAGTATTTTTTGTACCCAAATCCCCTTTAGTGTGGTATGTTTACAGGAGGCCTAGTACGGTACATTATCAACAGACATTTTGCTCAATGCTCCTTGAAAAGGCACTTGAAATGTACTTTGTGATGTAAGTTTTGAAGTGTGCTGTACTAAGAAGTAATGTTTACCATTTGTTCCAAAGAATGGTGACTTGCTCTTCCTCAGATCTCACTTGCAATTCCTAACACAGTGCTGCTGTTAATATCTTAACAGCATAAGCATAAGACTCACTTCTTGCCTGGCTTTTGTTGTCTTGCTCTAAAATATGCTGTAATGATGAGTGAATAGGCTGATAATTAGTTACAGCTAACTCATATTCAAGTATCTCAGTACCATATCTGACTTGGGGTTGCCTACTCTCCAGTCACACAAACCCAAATACTCCTGGCTTCACTCTCTGCATGGAGGACCCTCATACATACTCACGCTATTCCCCTCCTCCATTGCTTACTCTCCCCTACCCTCACTCACTTTCTCAGGCCGAGGCAGGGGGATGGGGTGTGAGCTCTGAGAGGGAGCTGGGGTGCTGGCAGAGCTCCAAGAGAAGTCTCAGGGCTGGGACAAAGAGTTGGAGTGCCAGAAAGGGTGAGGGGTGTGGGCCAGGTGGCATTTACCTTGGATGGCTCTCAGCTGGTGGCACAGTGGAGATAAGGCAGGATCCCTGCCTACCCTAGTTCAGGCTACTCCCAGAAATGGCCAGCACAGCCTTAGGATCAGGGGTGGGTGTAGCTCTATGCACTGCCCTAACCTACAGGCACTACTGCAACAATTCCCAGCCAATGGGAGCTGTGCAATCAGCAGTAAGGTAGAGGCATGTGCAGAGAATCTCTGCCCTTTTCCCTTCCCTCAGGGGCCATGCTAGCCATTTCTGGGACTAGCACGAAGCCAGGGTCTGCCTTAGCCCTACTTCACTGCTGGCTTTAGCAGCCTAAAATCTCCCCATTTAGCTTAGGTCACCTCAGGGAGATGCAGTATGATTCCCAGTGAAACTGCAACCCTAATCTGAACGCTGCTCAGGCCCCCCATCCTCCATGTTTAATAGCATCTATCCTCATGCCATCTGCCCCTCAATTTGCAGCTTTAAATAACCAATGACTTTGTAAGTAGTAAGCAGACTCATAAGGGGGAATAGTCACAGGGTGACCAGCAAAGTAAGGCTACTCCCACAACGTACCAGTGTATAGCCTCTATTTACAGTAGCAGCTAATTTCATGCTAGCTGACAAGCTTGTCCATTTACCCATACTTGCTTTCATAGTCAATATTTTTCAGAAACTATTAAACTCACTCAGAGCAAGGCTAGAATTAACCCCTGTGAATAATCTAGATCTCAAAGGGTTTCTTTTCCTTGTACAAATGAAATGCTCTTTGCTATGACTTGCCTTTGGGGGTTTGAGTGATTCAGAATAAATGTCACTATCCCAAGTGATACAGCCAGCAGACACAGAACAAGGCAAGGCAGAAAATAAGCCATATGCACTGACTACATCCCATTCATGTGCACCACTTCTCCCCTCCTAAATCCCATATTCTCTAGCTACTGCTGTGGAAAGAACCTATTTATATAACCTTAATTGGTTATAAGGGTAACAGAGTCCACCTGCTCTGTCTGGCACAGCTGCTTTCTCTTAGCTCAGACAAGCTGGGGAGGGAGAAACTCCATGATACCTACTGGTTAGGAGTCCCACTCCCAGAGTCTCACAAGCCTGCCTAGAATCTGGATTGGAATTTTAAACAGATCCCTAGGAACAGCAGTTGGCTTCCTAGGCAACCGCTGGTGGCCTGCACACATTGCTGCAGTATTTACATGGTAATGGGGGGTTCCAGTAGGACAGTTGGCAGGGAGGGAAGAAGAGAGGGAGGAAGGGTTTTCAGGCCATGATGTTTCTGTCATAAACCGTGTTTACTGTTTTGGGTTTTTTTTTTGGAAAATTCAGACCCATGCAAGAGCCATGTTGCCTGGGCAACAGTGTTGTGCAAAGTGGCAGCTACACATGCTCTTGAAGTACCCCTCCACAGTGAGTGGGATAGAATAAGGTGGCATCGAGCCAACCGTGCTGGCTTTAAACAATCATGGGTTCCCCTGTGCCAGAAGAATCAGCAAATGCCATGGCAATGATTTTTTTTTTAACTGCTCAGATGGATAAGCTGAGGATCAGCCCAAGAAGCACTTGAATTTTAATGATCTATTTATGTTTTCTATTGCATGTAGAGTTCATGGGGGCTGTGTCTAGACTGGCCAGTTTTTCCGGAAAATCAGCTGCTTTTCCGGAAAACCTTGCCAGCTGTCTACACTGGCCGCTTGAATTTCCACAAAAGCACTGATGATCTCATGTAAGATTGTCAGTGGTTTTGCGGAAATACTATGCTGCTCCCATTAGGGCAAAAGTCCTTTTGCGCAAAAGGGCCAGTGTAGACAGCCCAGATTTGTTTTCTGCAAAAAAGCCCCGATTGCAAAAATGGCGATCGGGGTTTTTCTGCGGAAAAGTGCATCTAGATTGGCACAGATGCTTTTCTGCAAAAAGTGCAAAAAGCATCTGTGCCAATCTAGACACTCTGTTCTGAAAATGCTTTTAACTGAAAACTTTTCCATTAAAAGCATTTCCGGAAAATCATGCCAGTCTAGACGTAGCTGAGAAGTGCTAGCTTGGTAGCAGTGAATGTGGAAGTACCCTGCCTCAAGAAAGAGATACAATATGGGCAGTTGAAGCAAAATGCAGGACAATGTAGCACTTTAAAGACTAACAAGATGGTTTATTAGATGATGAGCTTTCGTGGGCCAGACCCACTTCCTCAGATCAAATAGTGGAAGAAAGTAGTCACAACCATATATACCAAAGGATACAATTTAAAAAAATGAACAAATATGAAAAGGACAAATCACATTGCAGAACAGAAGGGGGATGCGGGGGGGTGGGAAGGGGGAGGAAGGAAGGTAAGTGTCTGTGAATTGCTGATATTAAAGGTAGGGAGAGTGGGATGTTTGTGAGTTAATGGTATTACAGGTGATAATTGGGGAAACTGTCTTGGTAATGGGTGAGAAAGTTCAAAGACTTGTTAAGTCCTTGTTGGTAAGTGTCGAATTTTAACATGAATGACAGTTCAGAGGATTCCCTTTCAAGTGCAGATGTAAAAGGTCTTTGTAGCAGAATGCAGGTGGTCAAGTCATTGAGAGAGTGTCCTTTCTGGTTAAAATGGCAAGAAACTGTTTTTTCTTTGTGATCTTGTCTGATATCTGTTTTGTGGGCATTAATCCTTTGGCGAAGTGTCTGAGATGTTTGTCCAATGTACATAGCAGACGGACACTTTCGGCACATGATAGCGTAGATTATATTTCTGGATGCGCAGGAATATGTGTTCTTGATCTTATAACTCACTTGGTTGGGTCCAATAATGGTATCAGCAGAATGAATATGTGGACAAAGCTGGCAACGGGGTTTGTTGCAAGGGAAGGTACCAGGGTTGGTATTAGTGTGGTATGTCCTGTGGTTGTTGGTAAGAATCATCTTGAGGTTAGGTGGTTGTCTATAGGAGACTATGGGTCTGTCTCCCAGAGCCTCTTACATTTCTATCAATATGGGCAGTGGCATTGTGGTCTTCCTTTCTGCCCCTTCTGTTATTATGCCTTGGTCCTCTCCAGCAGGGATCCCCTCTGGTATAAGAGGCTATTGAGATACTTTTAAAATCCTTGGTCTCACCACTAAATTTGGAAGCAATTTTAATAAGAAGTGTGTTTATGTGATACATAACAGATATTAACCCAAACACGCTGATTTTAACTTACTGTCTTAATTGTATTCGGGGATATGGAGGCTTGGGAATGTATTTTTCTTTAGGACCCAGCTCTGCAACCTGTTGATAGTGAATAGTTCTCGTTATCACAAATAGTGCCCCAGAGGAAAGGGAAAAAGAGCAGAGCCATTAACTACCAGGAAGCAAAAAGAATAAGAGAGCCGTGTAGGACAGTCAGTACAAAAGAGGGTAGGCTGGTGAGAGTGACTGTAGAGACCTGGCAGAGAATAGACTGTGCCAGTATTCAATGGGAAGATTCTGTCAGTATAAATCACCAACCACCATCACTCAGTGAACTCCTGGTTTTTATTTTTTAATAAAATGTGAATTCCTGAGTTGCTCGGGTTTGTGCATACAGCGTATTTGCATGTCTCAAGGGCAGGGCAAGTCAGGATAGAGATGAGAGGGAGTCAAGTCTATAATGGAAAAAGAGTGGAACTGTGCACTGTGTGATGAAGAAAAGACTTTAATGCTCATTACTGAAGAGAATAACAAAGTGAATATATTGCAC